ATTTATAGATTACTATTAAAGGATCTCTAGTTCTTTTGGTTAGACTACCTTGATGACTAGGTAGATTTAGGGATGACAGATCTGTAGTATCCTGACCCAGCTGTCTCTATACGATTAGGATTACTCTACCCTTTCATTTTCTTACCTCCTTTGAGCCCTATCGCTTCTTTGACGCTTCGTTGATGTCATTTTGTAGGCCTTGATTGCAGACATACCGCAACCCATATGAGAGACGGTGATTCACACTCTGCTCTTATGACCCAATTAGGCTTAAAAGCATACTGTGAACCCTATGAGATGACCTGGTTATTTCATTTGCCTCAATTCCGATGAGCTGTCATTTGTATAGAATCGTTTGAGACTCACTCTCTGTCTGTGTGGGTTGGCGTGAGCTTTGAAAGCATCTAGATGCTCCTACGAGATAACCATCCTTTGTGACACCCTTTGCTAGATATCACTTAAATGTAAGCATGACTCATTTAATCGAGAGTATTCTTGGAGATACCTTAAGATGTAATTAACCAAATGGGATACACACTTTTAGGAGTGCTCTTAAACCCAAAACAAATAGACAAATTTGGTTTTCTAATTATGCGTAGCTTATGTAGGTATTCTTTCATGGATATTCAGTTCAAGGTTTTTCAATGCAATCTTTTTTGAACGTACACTCTTGATCTATTGCATGAGGTTTACCTCACATAAGCTCTCCTTGATTTTTTTTAATTTTGTATGCCTAATTTTTATCTTATTTCCCTCTTTTTTGATCCCTCCTTTTCTCTGAATAATTTCGAAGGTTCAACTAAGAGGGGTCTTAGGAAAAAATAATAATTTTAAGAGAATAATTACACAGGCTAACAACTCCAAGATTAAAAAAGAACCAAAAACATGGTCGACATCATGGAAAGTCAGCTAAGGGATTCCATTGCCAGTAAATTTCAGCCCCTCACGTAGAGAGTGTCATATTTTTTTCTAGTAAGATGTGAATTTGATCATTCTTTGCTCCCCAAGAAATTGAGAATAATAAAATAAAACATTAATTTAACCCCACATGTGGAGGAGTTATCAAATTTTTAGTAGAAGGATATCACTTTAGTTATTCATCACCCCCTCATAAATTAAGATTGATTCAATGAAGTAATATCTACAACCCTTCTGAAAGAGGGGTTATTAAATGTATGTCAATAGATGTCAACTGTAGTTGCTCATCACTCTCCTTTACAAATTATTACATAAGCACAATAAAAAAAATCTCAGGTCGTTCAAAGAGATCAAAAGTTCGAGGAGATTTTAAAAGCTCTTTTTAGAAATTCTCTCGCGACATAAAAATTTAACTCTAACAGACCATAAAAACCCTCTGTGAGACAGGGGTATTTTCTTAATATGTATTTTGGTGGACTTCATGTCTCAGGATGAGATCCCCAAATACTATTATTTATAGCCAGTCGCTTTTTGTTATAAGACAAGAGGACTTCTCAGACATTGGGGTCCACAACATGCTCCAATCTGAGATCCCAAATATGGCTATTTATTAATAAATTATTCTTGTTGCAGTGCAAGGAGTCCTCCCATTTCATTCAGATTGATATCATGCTTCATTCCAAGATCCTTAATATATTTCATATTGATGAAATTCTCCCTACAAGACAGTGTGTCATTTCTTTTATATATTTAGGTTGATTCGTTCTTACAACTAAGATCCATGGACATTAAAATTCACATCTAGAGATTTTCTTTAGCAAGACAATGGAGTCTTTCCCATTTTGCTTGGATATTATCATTTTATGAGCTGAGATCCTCGAAGATACACATTATCAATGAAATTATCTTTAGAAGACACGGGGCTTTCTTATTTTATTTGGGCTGAGAAAGCGCTTATGGTCGAGGTTTCCAGGCATCAAGATAGGGAGTATTCTCATATTACTTTGGTCGACATCGTACTTTAAACCGAGATCCTTAAATATGAATATTTATTGATAGAGTATTCTCATTGTAGTGCAAGGACTTTTCTCATTTCATTAGATTGATATCATGCTTCAGACTAAGGTCCTTAGTATATTTCATACCACTAAAGCTCCCCCTACCAAACAAGTGGCATTTTTCTATATATTTGGTTGATCTTGTGCACTAAGCCATTATCCCCAAATATTATTACTTACAACCAGAAGCCTTCTTTTATAAGACATGTGACTTTTTCATATTTTTGGGTTGGTAGCATGCGCCAAGCTATTATCCCCAAATACAACTATTTTTATAGAGTATCTCAGTTACGGTGGAATGAGTCAAATCATTTCATTGAAGTCCTTATCACGTTTCAGGAAAAAAAAGGGCCTCAAAATCTTTCATACTACTGAGATTTCCCCTATGAGACAGAGAATTTTTTAAATTTATTTTGGTTGACCCCATGCTCTACGTTGCAATCTCAAAGCACTAGGATAGGGAGTCTTCTCATATTATTTAGGTTGACATTGTGCTTCAAGCAAAGATCCCCAAAATATTTAAAGTTGCAAGATAGGAATCCGTCAATCAAGCATCTTAGTTGAGAGTGCACTAAATGCCAAAATTCTTAGAGGTATCTTCTAAATAATGAAATCACATCATTACCGATCAAGGGCAACAATCAATCGGATTAACACCCCAACCTCTCTCTCTCGCCTTATGGCTCTGCATTTTGTCCAACCTGAAATAGGAGAAAATACTGCACTCGTTGTCTGTCATCTGCAGGTACGGAAGATAAATAGCCGGGCGACAGTTCCCCTAATAAAAAACATAGCCCTTTCAGATCTTATGTTTCTCATCAAATTTTAACCTTTCAATCGATCATACCATGCTACCGCCCTACCATTGATACTTTCCCATAAAACGAGCACACTAGCCCTCTCCCCATGTTTCCCCCTCATAGAACATCCCTTCCTTTCCTCTCTCCCTCCCAGCTCTCTGGATCAGCCCTGCCTTAGACCAAAGTAGTGAAACCTCTCACTCTCCAATTAAATCTCTCCCGTACCTCCCCCCGACTCCTGCTCCCCTGCAACAGCAGCTACTCCACGAGAGAAGACCTGCAGGCTCATCTCTCCCTAAGGCACATGAGCTTAAACTTTAATTAATGGAAGTTTAGTACATTAGATTAAATTATTTATAATTTAAGTGAATATATGATAGAACTGTAATTTTTAGGGTAAATAAAATTATTATTACAACACTAATGCTAAATTTAAATAGAGTAAAATATGACAAAACTTAAATAATAACAGATTTTTCATATTATTAAATAGAAAAATTTGTATGTTAAATAATTGGATAATAATTTTTTTATAAATTTATTCGAATATTATAATAAAATTATTATATCATTGCATGACATTTAAATGCTTATAGAGCTGCATATGTTAGATTATTGCATGATGTTTAGACTCTAATAAAGATGCATTTACAAGTCCTTTAGATTCTAGAAGAAACACATTTATTAATTGTTAGATAAATACAAAACATCTTACAAGAAAATAATTTATGCATGAAATAATATAATAAAAATAGTGTATATATGAATGCTTGTATGTGCAAAAAGAGTTCATTCTCTTATGATACTGACAGGGGACACCCATACTTGCAAGCAAAGCTATTTTTCTACCCCTTTAGACAATCATATAATTTAAATCACAAACCGCTATGCCAATGAGAGAATATGGACTAGTGGTGAGCAAACAACTTTTCACCTCAATCAATAATGTACATGTTCTGGGTTTCACTTTGCTAACATGATATATATCAAAAAGATGTGTGTAGATTATGTTGAGACACTACTTTTGAGTCAGATGTACAAGTTAAGGTTATAGATCATACTAAAATTAGAGATTAAACATTTTTTAAAATATAAAACTAAATTTAATACAAATAAATTATAGTTTATTTCTAAGAGCAAATGACATGAATATATTATTTAAACTATTATATTATTTTCTTATAACATAATAGAAAACAACATCATATATATTATCTTTTTTTTCTTGAATTACTATAATTCAGAAGTGTAATTGCCTTATTGAATTAATATAATTCAGGAGTATCATCGTATTATCGCTCTATCATGTTATAGAAGAGAAGTACTAAAAACAAATAGTGTATAAAAGCAAAGAGCAAAAATAGAAAGATAAGCTTATTAATTATTAAATTAAATAGATTTCTTTTGTGATATATTTGATTGTAAGCTATTAGTGACATAAAATAGATAATAAAACAATTTAATAAATTCCAAAGCTCCAAGGCTGAATCGTGACATGTATTACATTGATTTAATCTCATGAATCCTCCATTTAATTTAAAATTTTTTATTTTTCAAATTCTTCAACTAAATATAAATAAAAACCAAAATATATTTTTAAAATCAGCAAAGCTTTGACAACTACTAAACATAAGAATACACCAATCCCATAACCCAACAATATGAAAAATGCATATAACTTTCTCATTTGAGATAAATTCTATGAGAAGCAGCTGATCTACTTCACTTCAATCAACCAAATACCATCAAGTAGCTATAGAACATAAGGCAAATCTTTCTAGCTAATTAAAATGACTTGCTCTATGGTTGAATAGGCATAAACACATGTTAGGAAGACCTCACAATCAACAAGTTCATGATGAGCTCAACAAATTAAAACATTAAAACAAAAGCACTTGTCCACCAGATAAAAAGCTTGGCTAAATTGAACTTTTCGAGTACATCATGACCCTCGCAAGTTCAATATGACTTTGATGAGTTCGATATATAATCAATGTAGCCTTTGAGAATTCTATATCCCAAAAGAAACATAGAGTAACTCCAAGTCCTTCCTCTACCATCAACCAAAAAACAATGAAATGAGGTATTAAAAGTAGGAAGTTTCTCCTCCTAGCTTTTTATATCCCAAAAGAAGCATAGAGTAACTCCAAGTCCTTCCATCCTCTACCATCAACCAATAAACAATGAAATAAGGTATTAAAAGTAGGAAGTTTCTCCTCCTAGCTTTTTTTTCCCCTTAAATTATGAATAGTTTAATCATCAATATCCCAATCAAATCATTATTTGTTTTTCTAAAAAGTTAAAACTCAAAAATGGTCCTGTAAATAAGGATGTAAAGCCACTTGCAGACCAAAAAAACATAATGCAGACTTCCAAAACCGCAACATAATGGATTCATCTAATCAAGCATGCATCTGCATTGCACATCAGCTTTAAAATGCATCAGCTCAAGTATTTGGCAAACAAGGCATTAGCAATTGAGATGGCATCACCTTCAGCTTTAACAGGGTATAGTTCCTGACCTTGCTGCCATTTGTTGGAATAAGAAATCCAATTTCTCCTCCATTTTTCCAAGGGAAAATCTTCGTTCTTATTTAAGCTTTGTAATAGGTAGCTGAAATATGTTGAGGCTCTTGGTAGATAGTAGCTCTTAAGAAGCCCACTCCAGAATTTATTTGCTGGAAATTATAAAAAAATATTGAAATTTATTTTTGATGTGATATTAAAGAATTAAGCTCTATGTGTGTACATATAAAAGTTTAGGTGTGAGATGTAAATACATATGAATTGTCTGTTATGTATTGTATATGCACCCAAAAAAAATGATTATCAAAACATTCACTGGTATGACTCTGCAGTACAGTTCCACCTCAAATGTTATGGACTTACCATAATCATGAAGTTGGCTCTGGTTGGTCTCTGTGTTATCAAACCACATGGTAATTTGTGTTCTGGCATTCCATTCATACTGAAAAAAAGGCACAGAAAAATGATATCCAAAATTAGGGAGCATTTACTAATCGGAGAAGAAAAAACTAGAGCAAACCTGTCTTTTCTCCTTCTCATTAACTCCTAATTTCTTGGCACTTTCTAGCCAAGTTCCTAGTAGGAAATTGTCATCAGAAGCCAAAAGAATGTCGATGTCCTCAATGAGCTCCATAAACTTTTGAATTTGTAGAGTCAGTTCACTGGCATCATTTTGGTGGTAGGCATTAATGGCGTCCAGATAAACCTGATTTGATAATTTGGCAAGCACTTGTCTCGTCAGGTCAACAAGGTCGTATCTGTTAAGATGTTCTGTTAGAACTTATCTGAAGTTAAGAAAAGAAAAAAAAAAAGAAAAGAAAATCTGAAGTTTCTTTCCACATTTATAATTTCTTCTCCCCCATGCCTTAAAAGTTCAGTTAAGATAAAAAAAAAATCACTGTGAAAACAGGCCCTAGGTAGGCATGTATGTGTGACTATGGATCCGTTTTGGGTGGCAGCATAGTTTTATAAAAATGATTATAAAGCTATTGCAAGGAAAATAGTTTTTTTTAAAAGCTCTTGCCAGTAATATAAATATTTTCTTTAATTGCTCTTTCAAACCTAATTTGCACATTAATAACATGGGCTTAAATGGGTATTACAATGTTTTACAAATAAACCCTTAGTCTTTGCACATTAATAACATGGGCTTAAATAGGGTATTACAATGTTTTACAAATAAACCCTTAGTCTTCTTCAATATTCCCTTTTCACAAATAGAACCCTAAATAAGGTTTAATTCTAAGTATCCCACCTCAAGAAGGGCAAAAGATATCCACTAAGCCCATCTTGTCACAGAACCTAGACAAATCTAGTGAACTAAGTCCTTTAGTGAGACAGCCAGCCACCAGCCACTTGCTCTCTAGTGCCTACATGACTTAGTTCTAGTAGCCCATTATTCATGTAGAACTAAGTTCTAGTGCCACCAATTAGGCTCTCACCCATATCATCTCGACAACTCCTAAGACCATGGCCCTATACTCTACCTCTGATGTTGACCCCACTACTACAAACTGTTTCTTGATCTTCCAAGAGATCAAGTTGCCCTCTACAAACATACATTATCCTAAAGTGAATCTTCTATCATCTGCACAACTCGCCCAATCAGCATCACAAAAGCCCTCAATGTTTACATACATATTCTTCTTGAAGATTAACCCCTTCCCTGATACACTCTTCAGTTACCTCAGAATTTGATACATTGCATTTATATGACCCTTCCTTCGATCATGCATGTAGTGGCTCACCACACTCACTACAAAAGGATGTCAGGTCGAGTGTGACACGAAAATATCAGATGACTAACCAATCTCTGACACCTCTCATGATCAACAAGTTTTCCTGCCTCTGCACTCAGTTTAATTTTTTGGTCAATTACAAAAACTGTAGGTTTGTATCTCAACATGCCTTTTTCAGTAAGAAAATCTAGTGCAAACTCTTTTTGGGACAAGACTATCCCCTCAGGTGCACAAACTTTTTCAATCCCTATAAAATATCTAAGCTGTCCAACATCCTTCAGCTTAAATTCATTACCCAGTCATACATTTAGTTGGACAATCTCTGCCGCATCACCATCAGAGAGAATGATGTCATTAAAATACACAAGTATAGTGGGGTGACTATGTTGTCCAAAGAACACAGTATGGTCTGCATTGATATGTTATTATTCCATGCTCACCATAGCCTTCTAAACATGTCAAACTAGTCTCAGGGAGATTGGTCTAAGCCATACAGTGATTTCCTGAGCCTACACATCTTCTCCATTGTCTGGAGTGTACCGAATCCTGATGGTATCTGCATATATACCTTCTCCATTAACTCACCATGAAGAAATGCATCCATCACATCAAGTTGGTGTAGCCTCCACCCACCATTCATTACCAGAGAAATCAGTGTCATCACTGTACTCATCTTTGCTACTGGTGCAAAAATTTCATCATAGTTAATGTTATTGCCTGACTGTACACTTTCGCCACCAGTTGTGCTTTGCCACTCTACCTTCCGTTTTGGAGTTTGTTTCAATGTGAAAATTCACTTGCACTCAACTATCTTTTCATGCAGTGGCACTATCTCCCCCGTTCGATTTTTACGAAAACCCTTAGCTTTTCATGCATAACCGCTTTTCAGTCGAGATCATCCTTAGTGATGCATCAAAATAATATGTTGTTTTAAGTATATATTTTATACTTATTTTTTGTGATATTGCACTTTAAAGAAGGATATTTTTATGTTTTTGTTCCAATTATATTAATTTTAGACATTTTGAGCAAAAGTAGCAAAAAGAATGAAATTTGGAGCCAAAACAACGAAGTTTCGAATTCTGGCGCATGATGCGCCAGATTGGCGTCAGATGCGTTGAATTGGCGCCGGATGCGCCAAAACCCAGAACAGTGCGGTCTTCAGTAAATTGCCGCATGATGCGCCAGATTGATGCCAGATGCGTCATTTGACAGAGAGTTGGCGCATGAAGTGTCAGATTTGGCGCCAGATGCTCCAGGGACGACTTTTTGCAGATTAAGGCAGTTCGAGACGAATTTTTCAAGAATTTTCAAAGGGACACTTGTTCTAAACACTCATTGGAGTAATTCAATGCATCTAGAAACTTTGGAAGATTCTTTTATTAAGGGATATGTCTCTTGGATAATGTACATGTCTTTTGTATTCATAAGATTTGACCTTTGGATAGAATTTTGGAGGGAATTTAAAATTTTTTTTTGGAGGGAGGCAGCCATTTATAAAAGAGATGGATGTCTAAGGCTTAAAGGAGAGTTTGGTCAGGAGGAACTTTGGGTGGTGTGTGTGTGTTTGCGTGTGTGTGAGTGGCATGAGAGTGAGAAGAAGGAAAGGGAGAGAGAGAGAAAGTCAAGGGCTTGAGATTTTCTTCAAAGACTATAAGAGTAGGTAAGGTGACAAATTTCTTCTTCATTACATTTCTAGGAGAGAATTGAGAGTGCTTGTAAGGAGAGAAAGACTTGAAGAGAACTTCTAGGGATTTTCTTGGGAAGGATTGTTAGATAATTTGTCTTTTATTTATTTTATTTTTTAAACTTATTTTTATTAATGAAATTCGTGTTTTGTCATATCCTTCTCATGAATTTTGAGTAGTCTTCATTATCCTTCTCCCTACTTTGAGATCTGGCTTTGTGAAGACTTGATTTTATTTTATACAGTTTTAAATGTCAATAAATTGTGATGATTCAAACTCCATCTTCATTTATTTTTCTATTTAGCCAATTGAAAAAAGGACTATGATTTCTACAACATAGGGAGAATCACATTTGATTTCATGGGAGAAGATGTCATCCATGGGGTTGAGTGCAATTAAATAGTGAAATATGCTTTGTTGGATGCAGAATTAGAGATTTTAAGGTGACATATTAAAATCCCCAATTTAGTCCAGTTGATGGGAAATTAATGTGAGATTGTCAGCCCTCAGATGAGGGAGTAGTGAGAGCTCTGGAGTGGCAGCCGGTATCCTCCCAACCTAACCATAGA